TTACACACACATGTATTTGACACACACGCATATAATTTTATACTCTTCGTTTATTGTCAAACTTTTGTTATTGCTTGAAGTTTGTGGTCTAATTGAGTATAGATTAATATTGTTTATCTTTAATATTATTTGTCTATGGTGTGATTTTAGCGAAATCTGTAACTAAAACCATAATGTTATTCAAACTTATAATTTCAATTAATTATAGTCGAATTTCGTCTACTGCGGGACCACTAGTTGAAACAAAACGACAACTATATAGGCAATGATTCATCGGTAAGTATGAGATGTTTCTGAGCGCGATTTTCGGATGCAAAACGTCACGCTGATGTTTTGAGTGGCGTTTCCCGCTGCGTTTTCCGCGCGTACATTCCTGGTCGAAAATAAAACAGAGGTTGAACAGCTCTAAATAATTAAGTGTAAGATTTACGTTGACTTATCCCGTAACTGATTGACGGCGAGGTTGGGTGGTAATTTTTAATTTCAACTCACAGGTTGACAATAGGTGGCCTTTCTAATACTGCACTTCCTTGGAACTAACAAGGGTTTTGCTTGGAAATGGAATAAGAGATTACTTTGACATGTTTCATTACACAACATATACGGTACACCAGGTATTGAAGGATTATCGGAACTCCTAGTCATGTCAAAACGTGATAGCCGCACTTTGAGGTATGTGTTGAAATATCGACCATGTATCACACTATTATAATCTGAACTGATGACCATTTCGGGGTAGGAATAGACAGGGTTTTTATAATACGGCCCACTATTAGCCCGATGCGATTATCTAACTATAAGAAAAAACACTCAAACTTGGGAAGATCTTACAGCGAGCGGGTGTTATTTCTCCGTGGATTGAGGACAATCCGAGAATGTATTTAGTTTTTTTTAACCTGCATTATCGTTGGTAGCCTGTGGGAGTTATTCCTACAACCACGCGCGGGTGGAGGTTTTGTTCAAAATCGGTAAATCTAACTTTTCTGATCACAATGGCCGAACATATTTCCCACAAGCACCGGTCACTGTCCACTTTGACTAGTTCGCCGAGCGAAATAGCGCATAGACACAGCTCACTGAGTTTCTCGTCGACATTTCTCAGTGGGTCGTGATTCCTATCCGGTGATGATTCTGCGAAGCACAGCTCTTGTTAGGGCTAGTGTTAGTAAATTCTCTCAGGTTGAGCCCGTAGCTCACCTACCTACCAGAAAGTAGCTGGAATAACCTCTTAGGCTCCCAGCGAATGAATAGGGAGAAAACGTGTAAAAACTAAAAAAAGCTTGTTTTAATCTGACGTTGATCAGGTCAAAGTAATAGAATTCGTGTATGCAGCAATGGTTCTTGATGTTTGTGCAAAGTATAACATTTATCAGATTATTTGTTGGTGAAAATTTTGAAGCTTTTCAAGCTAATGAAATCGTGTTAAACACAAAGTCAAAATTACACTAAATGCTCAACAATGCCACTTCCGCGCTATACAAACTTTAGGCGTTCGTGTAAAGACAAACAGAAATACAGCGGTCTAATTAATGAATTGATTAATTAATCAAAGTCAGATGTAAACCAATGTATTGGCTCCGACGCATTTGTACCGGTCCGGCAAGTTTATCTCTATCTCGAGGGTTTGGACAAGATGGACGATCTGTCGAGATTCCCGCAATTTGCGGAGACTAGGACATAATGTCAGAGAATCTACAGTCTTTAAAAACCCCATCGAAACCGAAAAATGTACCCAAATCTTAAAGTCAAACGTAATAGTTTAGTTACTTAAAGCATTCGTGCAAATAGACTAATTTCGTTTAATCAACACGGCTGGGTAGGTATATGAGCTAACGTTGTACATCTAAGGCAGCGGTCGGGGAAATTTTTCAAATTATTACCTCAAAATATTTTTGTGTAAGTTGATATTAACTAATGGCGAATAACAAAAAAAAAACCAAAATCGCTTCTTTTTAGCATCTTTCATATTAAAGCCCCCATGATAATTTTGAAAAGAAAACAGTAACTAAAACAAATATTTAAACATCATTTATTCAATAATTAATTAATGTGTTCTATCTCATTCTCTCGCCGGCTGAATCCCATACATTTATGTGTTTGTGTCTCTATGGACTTATTTTTTCATTATGTTTCATCGAGTTTGAAATCACAACGATTCTAAAGAAGTTTCACTTCAATATATACTTTTTACTCACAAAAGTTTCATTTTTACTTACCCCCCAAAATTTCATTTTACCCCATTTGGGGTAATTTACCCCGGTTCGCCGACCGCTAATCTAAGGAAACTATTTGATGCCAAGTGACTCCGTGCATCTTTAAGTCTCAAAGTCGAAGTTTCGAGAACATTTAATTAATGGCTTCTCAGCCGTTTAAACTGCGCTTTGGGGCAGAAGAACGAATGTCAGCAGACAATACGCTTTCGGCAATTATTACCTAACAAAATATAGCTATTCGGTATCTTTAACACCAAAGGCCTCCAAAGGCTTATACCTCACCAGTCGCTCATTAAAATACTATAGTGATTGTAGAACGTACTGTGAGTCCGCAAGCGTATGTTCCACAATCGTGCCTATTTCTGTGTGCCGAGTGCGAGTTTTTTAACGTTGTCGATAGCGTAAAAGTTAACTTAAATTTGTATGGAATGTTTGTCGTTAAGAGCGCTGTTCCAACTGCATACAAATTTGAGTTCGCCGAGTGATCGCAATTCGACTTAAAACTCTCGACTTCTCAAAATTAAGATTCAGATTATGTTTAAAAATATATTTTTTGAACAGAAGGTGAAAAATATTGTTTAACTTTTTTTTTACCTAGACAATGAAGACAAAGATCTATTGATAAACAGAGAAGCAAAACTTTCTGAAGTGTTCTGTCTTTGCCTATTTAAATAATAGACACTTATAATCTACAACCATCACATCTTTGCTTATTCAGAATTTTGTAGTAGTACTTGTTATCGGACTATTCAATGTGCCAAAAATACTTTAAATTTGTTATTAAATTTATTAACATACAAAATCATGGTAAATGGCTTTACTTTTCAAAGCAAGCAAACAAAACACTGTAACACATATTAAATCGTAAATTTCAATTGAAACTGCATACTATGAAATATGAATGTATTTTGGCAACATTTTACTGATATCATAACTCATTATTATTACTTAGTATTTGTAGACTGCACATTTAGAAGAGTTTGCAGTCTTTATTTATTAAGATAATTAGCTCACCATTATTGAGCTGATTGCATATTATTGTATCTTTTCAAGTAATGAAGAACAATAACTGTTGTATATTATATGAATTAATTTTTTTTATATTGAATTTTTTTTGGAACAATTTTGTTTTATTAAGTATATTCTGAAGATAATCATTATAATTGCTCTAAAATAGATTTTACTTTTACCTTAACTATTGCTTAAATTTTCAATTTTTTATTTGCTCACTATTCGAGACAATTTCACAATGCTGATGTGTCGGTGGTTTCTGTATAGCTCATAGTTATGGGACCAGGAGATAACCTAGAAGAAAAACCAACTGGTATGTCTATGGAGTTGATAGTGGAGTTGATAGAAAAAAGGTATGATACTTTTTTTAATAATGCTAAGTTTCCTTGATAGGCATTTGAATGGTGTTGAATTGTGATAAAATATATTGTTGACAGCAATCTAATTAACACTATTAAGTAAACATAATTTTACAAGCACTTAGGTTACCTCGACAAAGCTGTAATTAAAAACCTCAACTTTCAGTTCTTTTATACATTAGCAATTTGATTTCATTCTTGCTACTATTATTATTAATTATTTTTCATATAATAAATTGCCATTTCTTAATTAATATTAGCAGCTGGAATATAATTTTTTTAAATTATTTTTTAATACCCTTTGTGCCTTCTTTAAATGATAGATTCCCATAAACACAATACTGTTCAGTATTATTTTTAAAATAGGTACTTATAACCTTTCAAAACAGGATTGCAGAAAAACAAATGGCATTGCTAATTATAATCAGCTCTGATAATACACAATGCCGTAAGGTTTTTTTTTCTTATGAGATAAAACCTCCATTAAGTTCCCTAGTAATTATTAAGATTGTGTATTATTATGTAAATGCATAATATTAATAATTGCTAAGTTCTAACAGTTGTTTCCTTGCTTGAAGAAACAAATTTTGTTTAAATTGCCTCTTTGATACAGTTATTTTAAAATGATACAATTTGAAAACTTAAAAATGAACATTATTGTAATAAAAAAATATTTGTTGATACAAAAAAGTTTTTCTTGGTAACTTTTTTGCCTTACACTATTATGAAAAGCAATTCTATTTCAGTTATGGACAAGGAAAGTCAATGTTAATCAGCGATTTATTAAACAATGTTCCAAAAGTATTGCTTTACTAAGTTAGGACAAAAATTTGCGGAATACTACATTATTATTTTACTTTTTCGATCTTGAGCCACGCCACCAAGAATAACAAAAATTCTAGGCGCGTTTAAATTTTAAATTTAGAACCGCTTTTTAATTTTCCCCTCGACTTGACAACGGGTATTGTTACCGGCCTCGGCACGTAATGCCTACATACAAATTTCACGCGTTGAACTAAACATAATGACCGAACGATGTCAATCACATTAATTGACAGCGTCTGGTCTCTGTGGCTATTTCAGAATTCTCTAGATGTCGCAATGTTAAAATATTTACGAAGGAGTCCAATGTTAAAAATAAAAATAAAACATTAAAAATTTCATGTGTCAACAAAACGTAACCTCAAAATCGGGATCAACAACTGAACGTGAATGTGACAAGAGGATAAACTTAACGCAAATAATAACAACAAACTTTTTTTAGCGTACGGGAACCGATAGCGGGAACAGATACAACGTCGCATAAGGACAGTAGCACGTACAAAGTACAGGAAATGTCTAAAACACGGCCATTTTCGTCAAGACTACGTAGATGTGATCTTCGACAATATAATTATGTTGGAAATTATTAACTTACCCTTTCAACATCCAGGTCGCTACCTGCACGTAGTCTTTTTTCACCACTACCGTTGTAAGCCATCATGCACAACAAAACAAAACACTAATCACACCGAAACCCGTTTTGGTAGAATTGTAAACGACAAACCCTCCTCCTTGGGTGGCCGCGTCCAGACTGATTGAATGAATGGAAATTAAATCGCTCGGGAAGTCGGGAACGAACAAGCGAGTAAGATGCTCAGCATATTCTTGCCAACTACAAAATCCGAATTCACATTCACTGAATGAAAAAACTAGTGAGTTTCATTGATTAACTAAATTATAAATCAGATTGCTTTAGATGCTAAAATAGATAGAGAAAAAGTGAAGAGAAAAAATAAAAATAAAGAAAAAGTGTTCGCTATCACACGATTATATAAAATTACTTACCATGGTAGCAAATCATAATATATAACGTGTATATATTATAACGTAGCTTATCCCAAATGCTCACGGTACTTAAGGCGTGACGTAAACTCCCTTGATATTAATTTTTTAGCTTAGCAACTAAGTGTTCTTACCCACCTTTAATAATTAGCAAAACAAAAACTGAAAATATACTGGTCTGGGGAACGTCTCAGATATTCATTTAGTTTTGTCCATGGGCATCGTGTTTTGAGGCGGAAACATGATCATCAATCAAGCTATATTAATTATTTTAATTTCTCCATTTGGTGTTTCTTTTCCATGAGTAACGATGGTTTGGCGGACCGTTTGCTTATCTGTCTACAATGACAAAGAAAGATCATGTAAAAGTGTGAAAAAAAAAACAAAAACACTGGACGTGGCTTCTCCAGATTTCTCAAAAAGTCCATTGAACTCTCAGTAATTTCCTTATCTTTTTACTGTTTGATTATTTCATTTTATCACATCTAGTACCTTCTTATCTAAACTCATTTAACTGAAATAAATTTGTTTATTCTTGTTCATTTTACTTGTCACACAACACACATGGTTTTGAACGTTGTTACAGAAAACTATGAGCTACAATCCCTTTGCCTATTTAGTGGACGAATTAAATAAAAATAGTACAATGAACATTAAACTTCTAAAGAAAATTAATAAAAGACAATGAAATGAAACCTATCAACTCAAGAGATCTAAGTACTACCGTACCTAGCTTTGCATATTTATTAATAACTCGTTTTGGTTTTATTGTTTATATTATTATTAGTTTAAAAAATAGATTGCTGTCAACTAAAATTTCTAGCCCTAAAAGCTCCGAAAGTGAATACCGGAGATCCGAGGAGATATCTCACGGGCGACATCGGCTTTGCGTTGCCCCGTCGCGGTCGGATAAGATCGGTCATTTGGTGACTTGCAAGTTATAGGTTTCTAACTCCAGGACTAGAACTTGGTTTATGTGATTGTTTATCTTCGTGGCGTTTGGCTGGCTGCAGGTTCTGCGCTTAGTAATAGTTTGACAGTTTAAATCTCAAATCTAAATTTTAATGGTACCTACCTACTAAGAATAAAAGTAATACTCATATGAGATTTTAACAGTGGATGCACACATAGCTAATAAACATGACATTCATTACAAATACACTGCATAACCATTTATTTAAAATAACAAAATATATACATTTATTTACATTAAAACTTATTTTTATTAACAAAACATGTTTATCACAATACATCTATTCCCAGAGCAAATGTACTGAAATATGTTCCTTAAAACTTTGCTAAAAAGTTCAAAACTTTTCAATCTTGATTACAATGTTAACACTTTTACTGGTGGTAGGACCTCTTGTGAACCTGTATGAGTAGGTACCACTACCCCGCCTATTTCTGCAGTGAAGCAGTAATGTATTCAAAAAATAAATAAAAAAACACTGATTGGTTATCTATTTTAAATTAGTCTAATTTAGATTGATGCCTTTCTGTTTAAGATTTAAAAACAAAAAAAGCTACTACTGTTTGTGATTTGAGTTTTGTAAAGGGTACTTACTGGCTATACATATATCAATGCTAATCTCAAAGATTTTGACTTTGTCCAGAAATGTAACCCCAACCCTGGTGTACAGAAGTCAGAGTTGATAATCACTAAATCAAACAGGCCATCCAATTCATAATTAATTAGGAGCAAATCTAAAAAACTCCTTTGGGAAATACCTATAAACATTGATTGAGACTGTAAGTAGTCTGCATATTGACAGATGAAAATACAATGTAGAGGAATTGGTTGCGTGTTGTGGTGTAGAATAACACCACTACATCTCTTCCCGCGAGTGTCTCACTCATGGGATCGCCAATTATTATTGGTATTTAGTAATGATGGTATTTTTGAAGCACAGATCCGAATTAGAGTAATTAGACTGGTGGGTGAGTGCATTCTCTGGGTCAAATTAGAAGTGTTAACCCCAGTTAAAATTAACATTGTCTAAAGGGAAATAATAGCAATCATCAATGTCACTCTCCACTGCACAGAGGACTGAAAAGAATGAAGGAACATGTTCCAAACAAAAATGCTCTGTAAAGGTCACTACCCTCAGCATTGAGGAGCACGACCACAATGAGGATGAGGAAGGGGCAATGATAAGATGACACTTAAAAAACCCGACTGTTTTTTGTTACTAATTTTAGAAAGAGCTGAGCTATCTTGTGCAACAGACATTACGGATTCATAAAAAATTGGACATATCAATCATTTTAAATTAGCAAAATATATTGTTTTTAACTTTCACTTTTCAGCCCCTCGAAACAATAACTGGACTGTATTCACTGTATTTCGTTTTGCTCACACGTTTCTTTATCAGTAACTTCATAAATAAATTATGCTTTCTTCATTTCTAATACCACCAATATTTAAAATTAATGTGGCTTAGGTTTATGTCCGTCCACGTAAAAGTTCCTAGTTGCTTTCGGTAATTGTATTACCATTCCTTCCAATTCTTTTGTTAAGACAATTTGACAACCTGCAAATAAAAAAAATTACTTGGATTGGCAGCCTCAGATTTGGGTCCAGTATCTGAATAATACTAGAAAAAAATGGGAAAAAAAGAAGGCAAATGTAAACTTGATACTTTACAACTGTTTTTTTTTAAATTGCACTCATTGTAATGAAATTAAAAGCTGTGCTGTCTCACTATCTTGAGGGAGTGTGGAGGGTCATCCTTATTTATTTTCACTTCAGTTTAAAATGATGAGTTGGTATTTACGATTTGTTTAGAAAAACGTTTTGCCTTCGTGGATAGTCCCCTTACATTAAACGCTGAAACGGGTTAGAACTAACAACCTATCACTCTCTATTGCATAGACAGGTGAACGAATTACGGCCCACTTGGTGTTAAGTGGTTACCAGATCCGGAACATTACAATGCGAATACTTCCACCATCACACCCTTTATTAGGGCCATTCTGTATTTTAAGTCCACATGAGTAGGTACTACCATCTTGGCTTTTCTGCCGCGAAGTAATCATACATTCTCATCAGAAAAGCTAGACTATAATTCCCGTACACGGCGCGCTCTTTTTGCTTACGACAATTTTACTTATGCTATTAGAATGTGTACCTAATCTAGAATTTTCTTTGAGAAACGGAGCCATATCTAACAGATCATCTTCTTTCTCTTCCGATGGCGGGAGCTTGTCTAAGTAATCGTGAGGAATGTATACGTGGCAAGTTGTGCACGCCAATGAAGCTTCACATGCACCTGTAATTAATAAATATGGTTAACTTATGGATACATACTTAGTGTTCGACTATTGTGAGTAATTATCTCAAAGCCAACAGCATACCTAATGTTGTGTTAAGAGATTACTGGACTGGACAAAACAATTAACATGTAAGGAACAAAGTAATATTTTTTTTAAACTTTAATTTTAATTATTGTAACTTGATTGGCTGGATTCAGATTATGGTGTTGAATGATACCGCGTCATAGAAAGAACAATAATAATTGAAGTAAAACAATACAAACCTTCCATAGGAATCTCATATCTATGTGCTAAATATAAAATGTTATCACCAACTTTCCCTTTAACATTTATTTTAACTCCATCTTTATCAACATATACGACGTTCACACTGAAATATAAATTATTAATAATAATAACTGGGAACAAATGAAGCATGGTCCTTCTTTTTTTTTTTCTTATTAGCTTATATGTGTGGGCGAGCTCACAGCCCACCTGGTGTTAAGTGGTTACTGGAGCCCATGGACATCTACAACGCCACACACCTTGAGATATCGTTCTAAGGTCTCAGTATAATCACAACGGCTGCCCCACCCTTAAAACCGAAACGCATTACTGCTTCACGGCAGAAATAGGCGGGGCGGTGGTACCTGCCCATGCGGACTCACAAGAGGTCCTACCACCAGTAATTTAGGAGCCCGTGTTAAGAGCACCAGACTGTAAAACATACTTATATATATTGAAATATAAATATATATATAAAGGTAATAAACACGCAGACAAAAAGCAAATAAACCATGAAACAACGTTTGCGCAATGTGAGAATCTAACCCACAACTCTCGGAGTAGCAGTCAGGGTCACTAGCTACTACACCAATGAGTCATCCAAACACTATTTGATTATTTATGTAAATTAATATTAATAATAAGCTAACAAACTTTCATCTATTATTTTAGTAGGACTGTGCTGTGGTAGAACCTCTTGTGAGTCCGCGCGGGTAGGTACCACCACCCTGCCTATTTCTACCGTGAAGCAGTAATGCGTTTCGGTTTGAAGGGTGGGGCAGCCGTTGTAACTATACTTGAGACCTTAGAACTTATATCTCAAGGTGGGTGGCGCATTTACGTTGTAGATGTCTATGGGCTCCAGTAACCACTTAACACCAGGTGAGCTCATCCTCCCATCTAAGCAACAAAAAAAAAAAGACTTAGATTTACTATGTGATTTACACAAAGTCTTTAGTGATGTTTAGCACCACTGTATTGCCAATTTCTCTAAGTACTTGTATCAATTTGAAAATTAACATAGCCATGCAATCTACACCATTGTTCATTAAACAAAGAAAATCTTTTTTTTAACTAACAGAAGAGAAAAAGGGTACTTCTTTTTTTGCCTATTTACACATATATTATACAAGAGATAACCTTTATTATCTGTGCTTTAATTAATAGCTTGATTAATAAACTTATGGCTACAATGATAAAAACAAGTTTTAATCTCATCTCATGCATAAATAAAATATGTTTCCTTTTAATTCACATTAAAATGTATAATAAAATGCCTTTAGTATAATAATAATGTAATATAATAATATGTAGGTATGTACTTGATGTTAACATTTTTTAATTAATATCCATGAATACTGAAAACAACAAAAATTATATCATATTCTGTTTGCTTGTTGTTTTTTTGTGTTTAGTATATAAAGTACATAATTTTTTAATGTACCGAAGATAGTAAATATAATCATAACCTGTTGAAGAAACTGAAATTTCAAAAAAACAAGCATAAAATATATGAAAAATAAGAATGGTATTGTTTTGTTTTGATTCGATCAAGGCCCCGTTTAAGGTTTTCAATTTTAACTTCTCTTTAGATTTTCTAGATAATATATGTAACGAAATTCCTTTCAGATTTCGCTTGTGGCTGGCTCTTTAGTTACGATATGAAGTACGATACTCACACTTCATCTTCAGACTTCGGATCTTGCCATTCGTATTCTCCGTGTTTTAAATCTGCCGATAACATTTTAATTAATATTTCTTGTTGTCAGCACTAAACATATAACGCTATGTAAATACTCACGATTCGTAGTGTGAATTCTCTTGTTTTGTACAATAAACGATCGTCGCAAATCACTCAGTCTATTACACGAGATAAGTCGTTTAATTGATAATTGGAGCATGATATACAACGTGCCTTTGTTGAGAAAACTTCGAATCAAAATAAAATAGTTCGGTTTTTGGTTATGTACATTGAATATTTTTCAGTCAGTAGGTGTAGGTAGGTACCTACCTATGAAGTTGACATATGTGGACAATAGAGACTTTTATTGACTGTCGTCAGCTGATATTATTATATCAGTCTGTGGCTGATTGTAGTGTAGGTATACAGGTGAATGAAGTTAGCCCCTCAAAAAAATTTTTTTTCCCTGTTTTCTACTTATTTTCTATTAATTCGTTTGTTCATCATTTGTTCTTGATTGTTCATTGTTAATAATTGTTTGTTCCTAATTTATTTATTTAAAAAAAAATATTAAAAATATATCTAAAAGTTAGCCCCTCGATTGCAATTTTTAATATTTTTTCGTCCTTAATTACTCGTAAATATTCATTTTCGATTGTTCTTATATAAAATACGTTTGTTCTCTTTCGAAATTACTCATTTTTTGTTTAATTAATTGTATTAGTTGAATAAATGTATACAAAATATGTGTACTNTTCGGGTAAATAGGGATTACACCTATTTTTGCATTTTTTGCTTAAACTGGAATGCTAGTTGCATAATTTTAAATTAGACAACAAAGATGCCCCCAAGACTCAATCATTTTGATCCTGATATAGCATTTTAAACATCAACAACTACCTTAAAATTGCTCATAAAGTTGGAATTTGTCCCTAATCGCCCCATTTTACGGTACCTACAACTACCATTGATATATAGGTATAGTCTGTGATGAAAGAAAGCCCGCAAAAATTAAAGGACTTTTTGGCGGGAACGTGAGTAGTGAAGTTGTGTGATTTGTTTTATTTTGTCTATTTAGTGTCTCTTCAGGTTTAAATGTGTAATAACGGTGGTTTATTAACTGTTTAATATGTGTGAAAGTGCACAAATGTGGGAAAATGAAACAAAGCCGCTGGACGTAACTTCTCGGGATCCTCCAAAAAGTCTACTGAAAAAATCTCAGTAAATGACCACCATTTTACTGAGATTATTCATCCCATATCATCTCATTTCATTTAATTTCATCCCAGTTGATTAATGTCTTAAATTAATCATCTTGGATTCATTTCATTTCACCCCATATTATCATTTTTCATAAAAAGAAGAATATTAATTAAAATAAGACATGACTGAAAAGTCTTAGTTACCAGGTCATAAAATCCCTTAAAAAAAGCAGTAAAATTACAATCCAAATTTTTTAATTTAAATTAATATACATAGGTACATATATATTGTCACTTCATGTTAAATACTACATGTATATTAATTGCGTTGTTCGACTTAACATCGGCCGGTACGTGATACGTCAACAAACCCGCAAAAGTCAAAACGTGATTGAATAAAAACTTCACTGTCCAAAATATTTTAAGACGATAAGCTTCGTTCCTCTCAATAATAATAAAATTGATTTCTTAGTTTAATCTAAGATTGAGATTTCAGTGTGATAGATAAAACAACACAAGCTCACTCTCTCTGTCCAAAATGCTAGTGACGTATTAATTTTAAACATATAATTTCTATGTGAATTAATAGTTTAAGTTGTAACATTTCAGCAGTCGCCTCTATACAAAACCCTTTGGTTTAACTAGCAATTTTTTGTAAAGCTTGCAATAATAAAAATTAAATGTCATAATTGTCATATTATTCAAGCGTCAATCATATGATGACTTCTATACTATAAAGTATAAGGCCATTTTGTATAAAATATTATTGAATTGATAATAAAATATTGATTTTTATGATAAAGGCTTAGGTAGTTTAATTAAAAAAAATGTTAAATATGATCATTTTACGCAAACATGCGTGATTATTACTGATAATCTTACAACAACACGTGATTTTTAATGAAAAACATTGCTGATATATTCTTATTTTTTGGTGAGTGACGTGTTTAATGCATTCGGCATTCGCGCCTTTAAATTTGAGCGATAGGTTCTACATTCTTAGAAAACGTTGTTTTAACCCTCTGAAATCAATATTTATAAATTGAGGATAGTATGTTTTATTATTATTTACTGGTCACTTATTTTATGTCATAAAAAAATGTTAACTAAAATCGTTAATATATTTGAGTGTGTACTTTAAATAGTAATAGGAAATTGATTGTTTTGAATAATATAGTAATGTTATTCATAAATCTCTTGTGGAAAACCACAAAGTGCTCGATTTGCATTTCTTCCCACAATAGTTCAGATTTCAAGTTTTTATTGTGTTCGTAAATGAAACTGGATGTTGTGTAACTTATACAACATAGTCCTAGGACTAAATGTGTTTTAAAGTTAAAATACAATGATGGACGAGATACTTTCAAGTATTTAACCTATTTATGTTGCTTTCCCTTAGTTCTGGGGTGGTCTTCTGAAACATTAATTCACATTTAATTCTGTGAGGAGCTGTTACTGTTGCTCATGAATTTTTCATTAAAAACGTCAAGGGCCTAGCCAAGCTACTACTAAAGAATAAAGACTATATTAAAGACTGGCACAGATAGCATATTATAATCCTTAGTTTATAATATTCCCTTTACACTGCAACCCTTTTTTATATTTCTTAGATCAATGTAACGAATGAAATCAACAAACTCACGCCCCACCCAGTGTTAAGTGGTTACCAGAGCCCTTAGACATTAACCACCTTAATACTCTCACCTTGGAACATGATTTCTAAGTCTTAGTATTTACAGTAAAATGGCTACCCCGCCCTTGGAACCATAAAGCATTACTGCTTTACTGCAGTGATAGGTAGGATGGTAGGGTACCACCACAGGTACCTACTCGTGTGCCCTATGGCCGTATACATATCCATGCGGGCTCACGTGATTCCCCATCATCAGTAATTTTGCAAATGATAATTTTTGAGCATTATTTTTTTATTATACTATGTTATTCCTTCATCTTGGAAGTCAACTATGAACAATTATCAATTATTTCATTAGAAAAACTGGTATCTGCCAGTGTGATTTGCTATGCTCAATATGAATGCACTCGGCTGCCTTAAGCTGCAATGATTTATATATTACTTTAAACATCTACATTACTACTATATGGCAGAATTAAGCTACTAACTACTCATGTGGACCTAAAAACTTAAGAGTATGTTTTCTTTCATCTTCCAGAATAATGTCTCTAAAACTGCACAGTGAAAACAAGCCATTGCGAAGGGATCCAACATCATTCCTACCTGAGGAGGAGATGTCATATGAATTCAAAAAGAAGAAAAAGAAGAAAAAAAAGATCCAGGAAGATCCATTCAAAGATTTGGAAATAGAACGCAAACATTTTCCAGAGGTGCCAACATTCGCTTTAGACCCAGAAGTAAATATTAAAGTAGAGAATATTGAGGTGGAATTGAACTTCGATGAGGTAAGACATAAAAGTATGTTTGCTAAATCTAAAAGCATATTGCAAATTCAGTCCACTAAATAAAAAATACTTATAGTCATATTTATAAATCTGATCCAGTTTTTACTCTTACTTGGCTCAATGAACATTTTAATTACCATATTATATTGATTAGAATATGCCAATAATTAAATAGATATTTCAAGCTAGAAATTTTAAAAATACCTAAATTCAATATTTTTATTATAAACAGTAGAATAAATAGAAATATGTAAATACTTAGAGATCTGAAAATATATCTAAGTAGTTATTCAAGGACTTTCTTGCTATTTCCTTATTTCATCAATTTACTTTTATTATAAGAAGAACCATTGTAATTTACATCTAGCACTTGTCAACACCCTCGCACTTGTCAACACCCTCTATCGAAATTAAATACATATTTAGATGTATTTAATTTTGATAGAGATAAATTTGTACCACAAATACATGTGCATAAAAACACACAAATGTGCATCTTATATCATGTAATACAGTACTTGCTAAGCTGATGATATGCATTGTAAAATTTTAAAATCATTATTTAAAAGAGAAGGTGGCGACGTTCTCATTTAAGACACTTCTAGGAAAAAAAAAAGTCTTAAGAACTTCTGGGTTTGGGCCCTAAAATATATTATTTGTGGTCCTGAACAATTCCATATTTGCCCTTTTTAGCTTTGCCCCCGAGATGTCACATATAATGAATGTTTGCTTTCAGTTGAATTTTCTGAAAGTGACACGGAAAAACAAAAATACGTAATCTAGTTTTCTATTGATGATTTCACCACCATAGTGGTGAAGGAACCCAATGTGATAATTTTCTAGCTTAATACTTTGTAAATGTATTTATGAGTAAAATTTTATATCTGAATTAAATATTTTGTACAGCCAAAATGAAGTAGTAGCTATTTAAATACTTTTAAATATTTTTTTCTATATTGCAGTATGCCGATGATGCTGGTAACACTGAGCCGTTACAAAACGATATCATGGACATGGAACCAATTGTTAAACTCGAAGAACAAAGTCATGAAGGTGCCATATTAACATTTGAAAGTGTTGTCAATGAAAAAAATGTTGTAAAATGCAGTCCGAAAATCAAGGTAGAAGCGGAAACTGTAACTAATGACAACATAATATGTCAAGTTTGCCATCTAGTCTTTAAGTCTGAGAAAACTCTTTTCATGCATCAGAAAAGGAAGCACAAAGTATTTCGGAGGTTCTGCAAACATGTATGTGACTACTGCAGTATGTCTTATGATTCAAAGAATAGTTTAGTTGCACATATTAAAAGAAAACACGGACCTGAGTCTGTAGAAGAAGACAATGAGGACCACACTTGTGAGGTATGCTCGTTGGTTTTCAAAGGAATGTCAAGGTTGCGGATGCATATGACAAGAAAACATGGAAAATATGAGGATTCATTTAAACATGTTTGCTCAGAATGTGGTCTGGCTTATGAGAAACACAGAAGCTTAATGGTGCATATACAAAGAAAACATTCTGGGGTACAACCAACCTCGAATCAATGGTTCAACTGCCCGTTTTGCACAAAAATATTTAGCAAACGGGAAACCTATGCCCGTCATATACAAAGGAAGCACAAAGTGAGTGATGAACCGAATGTGAAATCTGAGAATGCTGATGACGAAAATTTAGCAAGTTTCCGAAATGAGGTGACCGGTGAGATTACATGTAAAGAGTGTCCATTGATGTTCACATCCATTAATTATTTAAAGCTACATATGAGGAGGAAACACAATGCCTTGCAGGAGTCATTCCAATTGAAATGCCGAATATGCAACTTGTCCTATGACAAATTAGAGAGTTTAAAACGTCATGTCAGAAGAAAACATGACATAAGAACATACTGTAGGATATGCAAGAAAAAATTCAATAGTAAAGAAGCATACCTGAATCATTCACATGTGAAATTCATAAAGGAATGTTCGATATGTGGACTTATATTTGCCACAGAAGTTGGCCTCGCGAAACATCTAAGGCGTTTACACAAAATTGACACCCCAAAAACTGTCTTTTGTAATATATGCAATCAAGGATTCCACGAGAAGAGGCAGCTAAAGCCTCATTTGATGAAAGTTCATATGAACATAAGGTACACTTGTAAATATTGTAATAAAACTTTGAAGACTAAAGAGAGTTATAGACGTCATTTAATTTTAAAACATCCAACGCAAAAGCTTGTGAATGTTAATCTGCAAAATTGTAGTCAATGTTCAGAATCCTTCAAAGATGAGTTTGAATTGTGCAAACACATAAACACAGTGCATTTATCTAATTATAAAAACATTGAGAATTTTATAGAAATAAAATGTGAAGATATAAAAGAGGAAATCAAAGATCCCTATCAGTGTACGAAATGTTCAGAAACATATGTAACTTGGAATCAATTGAAATTGCATTTCGAACAAAACCATCATATAGCTGAAGAGACACAGTGTCAAGTGTGCGGAGAAATTGTGTCAACTAAGGAATTAAACAAGCACATGAAAGCCAAACACACTGAATTATCAGAAATGAAATGTAATTATTGCGAATACCGGACCACTTCCAAAGTGAGTTTAACTCAGCACACTCTAAGACACAAAAATGCTACAACAATACATTGCGAATTTAACGGCTGTAGATATAAAACGTATTACCCGGGCGCTATGGAGAAGCACAAAAGGAAACATGCAGATTTGGGAGTCAAATTTCAATGTAGTCAATGCCCATTTCAGAGCATGAATAAGTATATTCTGAAATATCACGAAGAGGCACATGCAACCGGCAAGAAACGCTACATGTGTGACCAGTGCGACTACGCCACGATCTTACCGGCTAACTTAGTCCAACATAAATACAAGCATTCGACAGAAAAACGTTTTAAATGTGAAGTTTGTTCATTTGCAACGAAATATAATACTTCGTTGCGGTTTCATGTTAGGAAAAAGCACTGTGATCTACCACTTTAAGTTACGACTTTCTTTTTTAAAAGGTTTAATAAAGGAATTTGGTGTTATGGTTATTTATTTAGTTCTATGTACATAGCAGCATATGGGTCTGCTTCATACATCTTGTCTATATAGCGTGGTAGTGTTCAAAATCGCAGACACCAACTATAATATAATAACTATACTGAGACCTTAGAACTCATCAAGGTGACTGGCGGCATTTACGTTGTAGATGTCTGCGGGCTCCGGTAACCACTTTACACCAGGTGGGCTGTGAGCTCTTCCACGCAACTACGCAATAAATAAATAAAAGACCACCAGCTATTTTCATTCTCTAAAATTTAAAAAGATAAAAAAAATTAAAAAATAATAATTTACCACCACTTTCTAATGTGGAGGTAATAGTAAAAACTTCTGCAAATCAATTCAGCAAATCCATCTGCCAGCTAAAAAATAGGATGGCGCCACTATACAGATAATATGAATTCTAAAGTAATACGTAAGTTTAAGAGTGCTTCTAGTTGTAATTTTATCATTAAACTAGCTTTTGCCCGCGACTCCGTTCGCGTAGAATAGTTACTTTGGCATACCGCTAAATTTTACCACCCACTTCATTTACGTAGAAAGTGAAAATAATTTTGAATTATAGAATGTTAAGGAGCTATTTAACCGCTATTTTGAAACATTCTTTATGAGTGCTCCACTTGTATTGGTCTTAGCGTGATGTTATATAACCTATAGCCTTCCTCGATAAATGGACTCACTAACACTGAAAGAATTTTCAAATTGGACCAGTAGTTCCTGAGATTAGCACGTTCAAACAAACTTCAACTTTATAATATTAGTATAGATATAAAAACATTGTCGATTTTTTTGTTCGAATGCATCGGTGCTTTTTTTTATTGCTTTGATGGGTGGAGGAGCTCACAGACCACCTGGAGTTAAGTGGTTAGTAGATCCCGTAGACATCTACAACGTAAATGCGTAAACCCACCTTGAGATAAAAGCTCTAAGGTCTCAACTATAGTTACAACGGCTGCCCCACCCTTCATACCGAAACGCATTACTCCTTCACGGCAGAAATAGGCAGGGTGGTGGTACCTACCCGCGCGGACTCACTAGAGGTCCTACCACCAGTGCTTTGTTTGTATGTGCAGGTTTACATCTACGAACACTGTTTACTGTTGCAATAAATTAAGTATATATCATCTATGGTCGATTGAGGTTCGCGGGTATCCGTGTGATGCAGGCAGCGCAAGACCGATCTATGTGGCGATGCTTGGGGTACCTACGCGTAAACGTAGTGTTACATACATGCTCTTTATGGGGGAGACCTACCTATGTCCAGCAATGGACGTTTGTTTGTGGGCAGATAGAATAAAAAAATTATGTGGTGTCGTGGGACACCAGGTAGGAACGAAGTTCCTTCGGCTAATGTAGAATCGACAAAATTTGCAAAAAAAAAACGTGCTCAATTGTATGTTGGTTTTCTTGATTTTTCTCTTAAATTTTGCTGATTAGTTTTTATTTAAGTACAGGAAAGTATTTAGGAAATTCAGTATTTTAGGAAATAATAAATTACGTAAAATAAAAATAAAATCGTAATTCAAATTAACAATTAAAATAACAAAATATGTCTCTTTATTTTTGTTTGACAACATAAAATTACATAGAAATAGAAATAATTACAAAATAGAGAGAGAAGGTATGAGAGAATGAAAAGAAAGAGGGAGAAAGAGAAAGGTATTATACACTACTCGCTTGTGTATACGACTGTCGCGCCTGCGCACGTCTCATTTAACGGTTTTATTTCACGCACTTTTTTTCACGGATTTTTTCTTACGGTTTTACTATCACATTTTTTCAGTTCGGTCGCGCAGCTAAATCCCTATCCCCTCCAAGCCTGCCGTAAGGAAAAATATGGTCAGCACTGCACGCTTTGCAGCCATAGATTACACATGCAAATAACCGACCGCCGACCGAATGTATGCCGAATACTAGAGCTGCTGTCAATCTTAAAGATGGATTATTCTATCATAGTATATTTATAAAATTCGTTGCTGTTTATCGTTAATAGAGATATTACGTTTGTGCACATAATATATATACGGACAGGTAACTGTCTACCGCGGCTACAGCACCTTTAGCGTTTATTAGTTCGCGGAATTTCCACAAAACTTTTACAAAACAAAGAAATATTGGTAATGTTATTTTACTATTTTTGTTTTAATTTTACAGAGCAGTAGTTTATTCAAATTATACGAGTGACAGCTACGGTCTGCTATGAGCGTTAAGCCAATATATTTATTTATAGCTCTGTAATTACAATGAATCTGTTCAATAAACCTTTTTCCGTAAAATGAACTTGTTACACAGCTCTTTTCGTTCACTATATTCGATACTTTTTTTTTTATTGAGCGCAAAGGTCTAATTGTTTTTATCGAATTAAGTCATGTATATACCAAAGGCGTTTTAAATTCAAATTTATTTACATTTAGTTTCTACTTTCTGACGTAGAACTAGAACTTCTTACGTTTCTCTTCACATTGTACGTAATTCTTATCAAGAATTAGTTCATTTTTTAACAGACTTTGTTAACCCGTCACACATTTTCATCCAAAATATATTCACGATAAGATTTGTTATCGGGTTATGTGTGTGTGAATATGATCTGATGTTGAACGTCGGTAGTAAATACTAGGAATAAAATTTCATTAAGGATTAATCCGTAGTTAACTCGAACTCGTTCACTTCCACGCAGTCATAGATTACCCACTTAATATTTGAGAAGTGTTCTCAAAAATACTGCGTGGGAGTGAACGAGTTCATTTTACTCAGTAGAAGGAAGCAGTTCATCGGAACGAATCACTTTTGAGTTACACAAATTTATACCTATTGATAAGGGTGGTACAGACGTATTCTAAATATCCATCGTGTTTGTGAGTGGTACCTACATACTGTGTGTATACACTAATAATTTTATTACAAAGAAACATCGGGAAACCTAACCACTGTTAAACTGCAAGTGTAAATATTAATTAAGATTTATGAATATACATTAATTCTCGTGCATGGCTTAGTAGTTACCGAGTTATTATTTTTGTATCGTGACAAGATGGAGTTTCTAGATCTTCCTTTAGTTATGATAGAAAATATATTTTCATATTTTTCACACGATGAAATCGCGAAGAATCGATTGGTAAGTTTTGTTAATTTAATAAAGATTAGGTTGTTATATGTTAAATAACTTATTAAATATGACGTTATTGTTGTGCAGTGAATCATATAAAATATTTGTATGTATTGCAAAGGCTATAACTTCGTAAGTTCCTAACATACTATTACATAGTATGTCATGTAGGTACTATTTTCTATTTATAACTGCAGATTCGATTCATTAGTCTCATTACGCATTAGTTTCGTGCGATGTTCTGATTAACACGACAGGATTATGTTTTGAATATAATGTCTAATTAATATTACTAAATATTAATACTTAAATGATATTGACATTTATATTTTTACATAATTCGATTTACAATAGGTTTGATATAAAAAAAATAGATTCTAGGCAGCAATAAATAAATGTAAACAATGTAAACTGCAGTTACTAGCACATCAAGTAATAATATAAATTAAATTCTGTTGTTTGTAAACCAAAATGTATTTCAGCCCAGTTGATGTGATGGACACAACCCTAAATCGTTTAAAATAGTTACAAAATAAGTTATAATCTGTCAGTCTTAAGAAGACATGAACACTTCGTTACCCTAATTTAATTATGCCAATTAGGCCTAATAGTACTGCCTAAATAAATAAATAAAAATTCTGTTCCCTCCCGGTCATCTTTTTCATCGAACCCGTTGATTGCGACTGCACTGCTCTTGCTAGGGTTAGTGTTAGCGATGTTGTCAAGCTTGAGCCCTGTGAGCTCACCTACATTTTATGGTGAAGCTGAAATAGCTTCTTAAGGCTATCAGTAAAAAAAATTCTGTTCCCCGAGTTATGAAATTCAGTTTTTGTTGTAGTATCAAAATGCAGTTTAGTTTGTGCACTGAATGAAGCATTCTTGGGATTTTTATTTTTTTTTCCAATGTTATCAAAAATATTACAATTGATAAACAGGAATGTAGAATTTTACAAAATAAGTTGACAGGCAAGTACTTTAAAAGTTTTAATTGAAAATGGTTTTCCTATCAGGTGTGTAGAACATTTAACGAAATATGCTCCCGAATGCTGAACCGCGGTTTCCTGATGATAGAGCGTCGACATGCAATGGCCTTGAAAACAGTCAAAGCTCAGTTGCCCAGGCGCGAGTCAGAACGCAGGTTTGTAATTACCAAATAGTGATAAATAATGATCCTGACAACTAGTCACCGTAGTACCGTATCAGGTAGTACGACCAATTACTTAATATTTTCTTTTTTATATTTTTTATTGTTTAGGTGGGTGGACGAGCTCACAGCCCATCTGGTGTTAAGCGGAAACTGGAGCCCATAGATATCTACAAAGTAAATGCGCCACCCACCTTGAGATATAAGTTCTAAGATCTCAGTAGAGTTACAACGGCTGCCCCACCCTTCAAACCGAAACACATTACTACTTCATGGCGGAAATAGGCAGGGTGGTGGTACCTACCAGTGCGGACCCACAAGAGGTCCTACCATCAGTAAATCACACACATAGCCTCATTTTTATGGTAATTTCTACTATGCGTAGTTTTTTAAAACAACACAATTGACTAACTGCCTTGGATACAATTTGACTAGTTCTAACTGAAATCAATGATAAGAAAACTGCTGCTTAAAACATTTTCAGGTGAATGTATTTATTCAATATCTCAAAATTATACTTTTGCACAATATTCAAATATTGAATAACATCTTAGTTGTTCGTGGCCCAGAAAACTGTTGAGTATCAGAAATGTCATGAATGTGAGACTAAATCATAAAAGCAGTTTTAATCATAGCAGTCTATAATTTTTCAAAACCGAACATAATATATTAATTTTGAATTTCAGACATCATCCTTTGTCTCGTCACTGCGATATCTTGACTTCGATAGAGACACGGATATCAATGCTCAGCATGACATACTCGAAGTACATTGACACAGGAATGTGCTGTTTTATACCTGGGAAGGTTAGTCTTTAGATTCAAAATGAGTTTGTAGTCACAATCGGTACAGGCAGAGTCCACAGTACAACAAAATGGAACAGAAGAGAACTATTGTACAGGGTGTGATTTTTTTAGATAGTGATTTCTGGGCCAGTTTTTTCCAGCAAACACGTTTTAAAAAACGAAGACAGTTTGTATCACTAATGGTTATTAGCACAACAGAGCTGCCAAATCACTTTTAAAGGCCTCGAGTGAAAGCGGGTGCTGGCTTCCACCCGCATCAATCTTATATTGTAGATTCATTCGATATGATCATCGTAATGATAACTAATAATGATAGTGTACATTTTGGTAAACGTTCAGCTGTAGTTTATTCTCATTTTCAGCTGTAGGAGTAATCTGTACACCCTGTATGTAACACAAATTGTTTTTCTTTCTATTCCGCAGCCTGTTAATAACGGAATTTTCCACGCATAGTAAACTAGTTTTTGTAAGGTGTGTTATACTGACTACATCTGTTCAAGGACCTTTTATTACCCGTGTTTGCTTTAGTTTTTACTAGCGACCCGCCCTCGCTTCGCTTCGGAAACTGTATTTATTTGAAACTGTGTTATTATTGATTTCTCCACTATTTAATGGATGTTATTATACAAATAAACCTTCCTCTTCAATCACTCTATCTATTAAAAAAAACCGCATCAAAATCCGTTGCGTAGTTTTAAAGATTTAAGCTTACATAGGGATATAGGGACAGAGAAAGCGACTTTGTTTTATACTATGTAGTGATCTTCAGAACAGTGTATATTAATTATAATTATTCCAGGTTATAGACGAAATAAAACGCGTTTTGACCATACTGGACACGTCCGCGACGCCTCCTCGTGCTCACGAAGTGTTACAGGAGCTCAGGGATATATCGAGCATGGCTATCGAGCACTTCGACGATAAGATATCGCCCGCATTCAGGAAGAACCTTCAGGAGGGTATGGCGCAGGTGGCTCCCAAACCGGGAAACGGTACGTACCAGACATTATATTTATTTTTACTAGCTTACTTTTATTATTGTTACTTTTATTATTACTAGCTTATTTATATTAGCTTAGTGGTGGCAGGACCTCTTGTGAGTCCGCGCGGGTGGGTACCACCACCCTGCCTATTTCTGCCGTGAAGCAGTAATGCATTTCGGTTTGAAGGGTGGGGCAACCATTGTAACTGTACTTGAAACCTTAGAACTTATATCTCAAGGTGGGTAGCGCATTTACGTTCTAGATGTCTATGGGCTCCAGGAACCACTTAACACCAGGTGGGCTGTGAGCTCGTCCAGCCACCAAAGCAATAAAAAAAATTGTTGAAGTAGAACATTGTGTGATGTATTTTGTGATATAATTTCAAGTCGATGTTATTTTATCAGGAAACTTCTTATCATCTAATAAGTATATCGGCGGATGAAAGGTTATTTAAGCGACATTTCTGCAGCTTTACAGGAGAGCCATTTACAGTTAAAATTTTGAAAAAAATATGACAAAATAAAAAACACGTGTGGCACTCGGGGAATGCCGCGGTAAAGCTATTGCATAGCATTTTATTATCAACTTATGCAATTATAATTAGACAATAATAATTTAATATTAAAACAATAATAAAATAAGACCACGTTATATTTGTAAACATTAACAAAAGCACAAATCATTAACTGTCCCCTTCAAACTCATAAGCTAGACCGCGCGAGAGAGAGATGGGCAGACTTTTCATGATGCGCATGCAGTGCGACGTCACGCCGCGCGCTTATTCACAAACACTACACAAGCGCAACGTGTGAATGTGTTGAACGCGAGCTACAGGGTAGGCGGAGTGGGGGGTGTTAGGTTTTATTTACGTTACGGAATTTCTTGGTTCGGTCGCCGCGCTCTTCGCCCGCGATTAAAGCTATGCAATAGCTTAAAAACTTCTTTAGCTATTTGAATGGAGTAAATTTAGTTGAAGTTTAATTAAAAACATAGAACTGTTGATGCTAATCACTACATAGTATAAAACAAAGTCGCTTTCTTTGTCCCTATATCCCTATGTATGCTTAAACCTTTAAAACTACGCAACGGATATTGATGCGGTTTTTTTTAAAAAATAGAGTGATTGAAGAGGAAGGTTTATATGTATAATAACATTCATTAAATAGTGGAGAAATCAATAATAAATTACAGTTTCCGAAGCGAAGCGAGGGCGGGTCGCTAATACCAAATAAAACCTTTAATAACAATGGTAAATGTCGCGTATTAAGCGAAATGTCGTTTAAGCTAAATAGCCGGTCACCCTTCGATATAGACATGGATATGTTACTTTTTGTTCTAGCAGGATTGATAGCCATGCGTCAGGAGATCTTGACCCTACAACGTCGCTCAACGTTGAACTCCAATCTATCATTGTGTCTCGGTTTGCAGTACAAGAAGTTTCAGAATCGAGTGAGTAGGACCTTTTTCTAGGTACCCTTCAAAAGAGTATTTTGCTATGGAATTTTCTAGAGTCTTTACTGGTGGTAGGACCTCTTGTAAGTCCGCACGGGTAGGTACCACTGCCCTGCCTATTTCTGCCGTGAAGCAGTAATGCGTTTCGGCTTGAAGGGCGGGGCAGCCCTTGTGACTATACTGAGACCTTAGAATTTATATCTCAAGGCGGGTGGCGCATTTACGTTGTAGATATTTATGGGCTCCAGTAATCACTTAACACCAGGTGGGCTGTGAGCTCGTCCACCCATCCATGCAATTAAAAAAAATTTTCAAAAGTCTAAAGCTAAATATAATTTTAAATGTATTGTATGAAACAGTAATGAACGCACCCGAAGATTTGGGTTCAATAACCTCACGCGGTAATGGAATGTCAGGTGTATTTAAAAAAAAGGTGTATTTTAAATAAGCACTCGATCATTAATAAAAAAAAAGCAGAACTGAATCATGGTTTTTCGATCGATTTTACTGTCTCAAAGAACCAATAGCTTATGATTCCACACTATTGAGTAACCAGTATATTTATATTTTATAAAACTGAAGAAACTATTTAGTTAATATGTTCTCAACAGCTCGATCGCTTGGCGCGGTACCGGAAGTTGGCCATGAAGCAAGTCGTCATCATCAGGCAGCTGACCAAGAAACAAAGGGAACAGGATTTGGCCATCGGTGAGCCTCAATAACATATTAACTGAATATAACGCCACTAGACGTATAAGACTAGTAGTTTTTATGTATTTTTTTTATTGCTTACCTAAGCAAATACAAATTTTATATATTTTTATACAAAAAAGTTAAAAAATAAGTAATAAGAATAGTAGAAGTAATAAGTAACAATGGCAGCTTTCTATACAACATTTTACCTGACATCTATTTGAGGCGTCTTGAAATAAAAAAATGCTAAAACGATAGGAATAACATAGCTTAAGCTTAATCAGAAATATTTTTGTCACAAAGTTATTAGAAAGTCACAAAAAAAAGATATATGAACATTTTTACTTTATAATTTGAGGTTATTTATCAATAATAGATGTCTCTGATTTTTGTAGGCACGGACTGTAACAAAAAAATAAATAAGTAAACGATATGTTTAAATAACAATTTTAGTTTTATTATCATAGATGAACCAATTTATCCATTTAATATTACTCGAGCAGGTACCCTTAGCAATTGCAGAGCTACCTATGTACATATACATAAGTAGTTTTTTCTTTTTCTCTTTGTAAATGTGTAAAAATGTGTGCCAGAGATAGGTAGTTTTAACCTTTTCAACACCAAAGTCACATATTTGCGACAAACGAAGGCTTGCAAAGCTAATTTATTAAAGTAGACTGTAGAGTCAGTCGTCATACTGTTAAGATCATTGTCATCTGCAGTGCTACCATTAGTATTATTTAGTTATTTAATTATGTACTAATTGTAATAAAGGATAATTAATATTATTATTTATTATTTTGAATACCTTATGAAAATATTTATGAAAAAATATTGCTTTTTTGTGTGCCAATAGTATTAACGCCATCCTTTATAAAAATACCTTAGCCAGTTGACAGTAGCCCATACGTATTACTAACGTACACTTATAATAATTATGATTTATTAATTAGTTTTGTTTGTTCTCAGCCGAGCTGAAGAAGCGTATTGAAGAATGCGACATCAAATACCGTGAATTGACACACACCAATCAAGCCGGTGGAAAGGCTATTGCCGGTAATAAATTCTATATATTATTAATACGTGAGGCAAAAACTTTGTATCCTTTTTTACGAAAATTGCGCGGACGGAGGACTGTGAAATTTCTCACACTTATAGAGAATGAGTGCAGTATGTTAATATATTTTTTAAGTATCCATACAAACTACATTAAATCAATAAAAAAAACATTACACACACACTACCATGTATTTGAGACACACACGCGTGCATACTATTTGTTTATTGTCAAACTTTTCTTATTGCTTATAGTCTGTGCTCAAATTGAGAATAGATTAAATATTGTTCGTCTTTGTCTATAGTGTAGTTTTGGCGAAATCTGTGATTATAGAAGTATAATAGTCATTGACAATAAAAGCATGATAGTGTATTTATAATTTCAATTAATTATAGTCGAATAAAAGAATCGATGTTTTTGATAGGAATTAAAATTGTCTATTTTATTTATTATACGTGTTTATTTATTAAAACTACGTTTAATTATTGGACTTGACTCCGACATCACACTTCACAATTTACATTTTCATAATTTCACACACATGTATATATTATGGTTTACTTAGATTATATTAATCAGTGTCATCTAGTTTAAAATAGTTGTACTACCTAGGGACTCATTAGCTAGAGAGTACATCCACCTATACTATAATGTGAGCGCTGTGACATTCTTTAAATAAGAGCTAATTTATGTCCATGAGTGTCGTTGAACACGCACCATCCGCTACACCGTACGGAGACAACTAATATCACTTTTCAGACCAACCAAAAATCAAATTCGCAAAATTATGGGTAATTACTGGTGGTAGGACTTCCTGTGAGTTCACGCGGGTAGGTACCACTGACCACTACCCTGCCTATTTCTGCCGTGAAGCAGTAATGCGTTTCGGTTTGAAGGGTGGAGCAACCGTTGTAACTATACTTGAGACCTTAGAACTTATTACTCAAGGTGGATGGCGCATTTACTTTGTAGATGTCTATGGTCTCCGGTAACCGCTTAACACCACGTGGGCCGTGAGCTCGTCCACCCATCTAAGCAATAAAAAAAAAACACCATGTTATCGAAACCAAAATATCGATATTAAAACATCGATAAATATCGATTATCCTTACTTCACAGCCGCGGCGTCAGTGGGAGTCGTCGAGGCGAGTCCTTCGCAGGAGCTACGTCACTTCTCGAGCCAAATCAAACTGGACCTATCCGTGCTGCCCATTGGCACGTCCAAACTCAACAACAAACGTAAGCACGATTTCGAATGATTATGAATAATACACGAATGATACGACGTCTTTTTTTTTAATACCATTTTATTAGCTTCAGACGTATGTCTGGTAGTATACAGTATGTTTGTAACGGAATCTTTGAACGTGATTTTGATCCCCTTCAAAACGTCGGATTAACTCGAAATTTGGTATACTTATTAAGGACCGATGACTATTCAATACTAAAAAAAAAATATTGAAAAAATTGAAATTAAACTAAAAAATTAAAAATAAATAATAGTTTAAAAAAACTAACAAAATATTCTATTGTATTTTTAGTGGAATTTTCTATAAAAGCGTATTTTTTTAATTTTTTAAACTTTTATTTTTTTTTGCTTAGGTGTGTAGTGATAAGTGGTTACCGGAGCCCATAGACATCTACAAAGTAAATGCCACCACCCACCTCGAGATATAAGTTCTAAGGTCTCCGTTTTTACAGTACAACGGCTGCCCCACCCTTCAAACCGAAACGCATTACTGCTTCACGGCAGAAATAGGCGGGGTGGTGGTACCTACCCGCGCGGACTCATAAGAGGTCCTACCACCAATGTATTAAGCAAATTATAATTTTGCGGATTTGATTTTTGGTTGCTCTGAAAAGTGATATTGGTTGTCTCCGTACGGTGTAGCGGGTGATGAGTGTTCACCGACACTCATGGATATCAACGCCAAGGGCTTAATTTGAAAAATGTCATAGCGCTCACATTATAGAAAATTTTAGCGGCAAGTTGAGTTAACTTGGACTGAGAATGTTTTGAATGAGCCTCAGTTATTGCTTAATAAATTATTGGGGACTTTTTTTCAGTCACCCCAAACATAAAGCCAAGGAATCCAATGATCAAACTGCCAAGTCTACTGAACGATGACGACGCAAGTAAGGTCCGCGACGCGCCGACCGCGCACGAGGCTCGCCCCGGGACCGCGGCCAAGCGCGCCGCCAGGAAGAGGAAGACCAGCACCGCCACCAACAGCGGCCTCGCGCACAAGATGAGGCACTTGGCGAATATGTCGGATGGAGGTTTATTTTCTTTTTATCGCTTAAATGGATGGACGAGCTCACAGCTCACCTAGTGTTAAGTGGTTACTGGAGCCCATAGAGATCCACAACGTAAATGCGCCACCCACCTTGAGTTAGAAGTTCTAAGGCCTCAGTTTTTATAGTACAACGGCTGCCCTGCTCTTCAAACCGTAACGCACTACTGCTTCACGGCAGAAATAGGTAGGGCGGTGGTACCTACCCGTGCGGACCCACAAGAAGTCCTACCACCCACCAGTAATTACGCAAATGCCACGATTCTACCTTAAGATATGAGTTCTAAGTTCTCCATATAGTTACAATGTATGTAAACTTAGGCCAACCAGACGAGATAATAAACGTAAACAAGCGGACCGTTACTGAGTTACATTGCGATAGTGAGGGATATTATCTCTGTCCTTATCACTCGTACGCGCAGTTATGGCGTCAGTTGGTCGACAACAGCTGTCGTTGCGTGTTTCGTGGTACAGGAAAGCACTGAGCACCGCAGTTGTCAACATTTGGTCCGCCATTTTGTGAACAAGTTCATTAAAAGTAATTTCATTCAAGTAAAGGCAGAACTTTTAAAGAAAGTGAATGACGTAAAGGCGATCTACCAAAGTTATGCTGTGGATGAGCTTGCAAAAAAATTTAAGGTGGAAGTCCTAAGACTGCCACCTTATCATTGCGAGCTCAATCCCGTTGAACTCGGATGGGCTGACATAAAGGGACACGTAGCTCGCAATAATATTACATTTAAATTTGAAGATGTGAAAAAACTGCTACAAGAGGGGATCCAACGTGTATCTGCTGATAAATGGCGAAGTTGTGTGGATCATGTTATAAAAGTCGAGGACAATTTTTATAGCAATATTGACAACATGATTGATAATACAATAGATAGTTTTATCATAAACACAGCTGACTCGGACTCTTCCGACGAATCATCTTTGTCTAGTACAGATGACAGCGATTAAAATTCGAACTTTGTAATAATTTATTTAAATAAAAATGTTTTTTACTCCTGAAACTTGTTGGCCTTACTTTAGTATGTATGAGGAGTAAGTGTTTTTTTTTTTTTTTTTTTTTTTTTTGNAACACCGTGGAGGGGAGCTCATTCCATAGCCGGATGGTACGTGGCAAAAAAGATCTCTGGAAACGCACTGTGGATGACCGCAGTGGCTCCAGGTAGTATGGATGAACTCTACTCCGGTGGCGGGCGGTGCGATGGTAAAAACGAGATGCCGGTATCATCTCGAACAATTCCTCAGAGCACTCCCCATGGAACATGCGGTACAGAATACAGAGGGAACCGAAGTCCCTCCGCAGACCCAGAGGCTCCAAACGAACGATGTTGAGACGACGGCTGATAGAAGAGAATGGGATACAAAAATTCGCTGTGCCAATCCCACCTAGTGGGATGAGGTGGAGACAAAGAAGAAGAAAAAGTTTTTTAAAGTGAAAAATTTATTACATCGTCCCAAAAAATTTCGTCTGTGTGTTGCATGTCGCGTGACGGTCGGCCGCGGAGTAGGGATAAAGTGAAATGCGCTCGTCAGAGCAGCCAAGGCCAATATGGCGGCTCCTATAGTTCGCAGCAGCTGACCGTGTAGTGTATAGACTATTGCTCATTTGTGCCAGTGCTCCACGCTATTTTCTTTTTTTTTTTATATGTGTATATAATCTAAATAATTGTGAAGTATTATGTATGTCGTACTATAAACTATCGTACACAGAGTTCAATAAAAATATTAGTTGGAGACTTAGTCTACTTTTATCATTCCAATTTTCCAAGTATAAAATTAAGATTGATAAAGCGATTTTTATACCCTTAATGGAATTGTATGCACCCTGTATATATATAGGCAGATAGTACCGACCTGTGTACTTGAAGTCTTTGTGTATCGCCTCAAATTCAAACGCTACTTTTTAATATAATTTCAGATTTAAACGACCAGGCATCCTTACGAAACATCTCTTCTTATTTCACCGACGAAGACATCAAACGTTTCCTGGAAATTCACGAGACGGACCGGCGCCGGAAGCGGCCGCCGCCCTGCGAGACCGTCCTCAGCAACGAGATCAAGCGCCTCACCGGCCCGGCCGAGGGCGCCGCCCCCCAGCGCGCCGGCAAGCGACAACGCCTGGACTGAACCGGTGAGCTGGTACCCACTGTCCACACACCGCACACATCCTATACCAGTAACCTGAAGGGGCTATTTTAGATTCACCGAACCAAAGTCAAAAATGTGTAGTATCGTAGGACACCGGATAGGAACGAAGTTCCTTATTATAAAAATACTAGCTGTACCCATCGCTTCGCTGGGCATTTAAAATTAACATTATTATTTCTCACCCCCACAGAGATTCTCATCATTAACGCCCCCGCAACTGGTGTAGGGAGTCCAACACTCTTAAAAATATTAGCCTATCCATTAAGTACATGTATTTTCTAAATGCATACCAAGTTTTAAGTCAATCAGATGCACGGTTCAGTAGTTATAACAGAACATCCGGAAAAACCACTAGATTTATATATTAGTATAGATATAGTTTTAAGTTCTATTCGAGGTATAAAGAAAACCCACGGTCATTCGGTAACGTGCGAACTTATAGTGGTACACTTCATTCACGGTTGTTTGCATAAGAGTTAGTGTATTGCGCAAACGAACGCTCTGTGATCGTGCTCAATGAATGATAAAAAAATATGTTATTTTTTGTACGTTATTACAAAGTCAAGTCGTACACTGTCTGCATTAATAATAAAAATCTTACGTTATGGACGTTTTGTCTCGGTTAGGGTACCCCTCCGCATCGTCCCATAAGAGACTTCGTTCCAAAAAATAAATGTTTGATTTGATTAGCTTTAGCTCGTAATGTATTGTATCAGATTTATTTTTATTTAATTTTTAATATTATTTAATTTAAAGTGTTCCTATTGAAAATGTTTTTATCTTACTATTCATCAGGAATCTTCTTGGCCCTTCTGTATAATGGAATACAGATACCTCAGAGTCCCCGGCAACGAAGCAATGGACAATGTCTTGGGAGCCCTGAAGTTTGAATCGGTTACTGAGATTAATCATGAAAGGCAGATGATACAAATGATTTACTTTTGTTTCTTGAATCATTTTAACAAAAACTCACCAATTATTGCATTGAAGTTAGGTAATTAATGTTTTATTTCGTGCAATTTAATATTATAGATTTTTATTGTATGTCCTGTATAAAATACATATTGGTTCCAGATATTTGAAAAAAATATTTGAGAATTTGCATATATGTGTGACACCATCTGATTATCATATGTATGTTTTTATTTATTTTTAAAACGAATTTCTATAACTTATGGGGCATTCTGTGATAAGTATAATTATGGGTGTTTTAAACAAAATTGTTGCAATAAATAATACAAAACCCATACATGAGCGTTAAAAGTACTTGCTAGTGAATCTTTTGAGGTGTATCATAGATGATTTTAGCTAATTATTTCATAAGATTTGTGAAAAATTTGTAACATGTTGGTGCGAAAATGAGTCTTGGAGAAAATTGTCTGATTTTTTTTTCCGTAAATTTTATACAATGTATATAATGAAATAGGAATGTTATCATGTATTAAACACATCTGGAATCAATATTGTAGGTAGGTTAGTTTCACAATACACCGACTGAACGTAAGCACTATGCTATATATATATAAAACTGACCATAAATCATAATCCCTCCTTTGCGTACCGCTTCAGTAGTTGTTTCGATTTTACCACCCTATTCTCTTTTAAATTATCAGTTAAGAAATGACAAGTTCGTCTCTTATAGGCTGCAAGTCTCAAGTCATCTTTTAAAATACGCGACATAGTTCTAGGTGCTATCTTCATCTCCCGAGATAAAATCTTTTGCTTTCGGACAGGATTTCTTCGAATTCTTTCCCTTACTGCTTTGACCACCTTTTTCGTACGAACACTACGCGGACGGCCATATCTTTATCTGTCACAAACAGAGGAGGTCTCATTGCACCTATTAATAGCCCGGTACACAAACATTTTACTAATACCAAGCGTATGGAGAGTTTTAAAACTTGCATTTGGCTCCATACCTACTTTGTGTAATGCAATCACAGCGATTTGGTTCTCTTTATCACCCCACTGCATTTTAATATCGCAAAATATTGTACAATGTATTGGCGCCAAAATGAGAAAACTCAATGAGCAATCATATAAAAATGACAGATTCCAAATTCAAATGTAATATTTTGTTTATTTTTAATTGTAACAAACAGTATTTATGGCCAGACTAAGTATATACCTATAGTGTAGTATAGCATAGTGCTTTAGTAAAGCGTTTTAGCAAATTTATGTATAAATATATGTTTTGTCTCTGTCACTTTTATTCTATAAACGCGTTAACTGTGCGAGGGAGAGCGTTGTGAATGCATTGATTTTAGATTATTTTCGGGCACGTGTAATGGAATAGCATTGAAAAATGGATCCGTGTACGATTGTGATTGGTTTCAGACGAGTTCACGGCTTACCTAGTTTTGAGTTTTGTGGTCCATGGACAACAACATTTATGCCGTCGCTTATCTTGAAGCACGAGATGAAAGCATTTATGGCTTTTGAACCGAAGCGGTGTGCCTCGTGACAATACATCTTCCATTTCTACTGAAACGTCATTATATGGTCACACTAAACGCTGTGGTAGTAGGAGCAATAATAAAAAAAAAAAATCAAAATAAAATAACAACATCATTAATGTATTCGAAGTCAATTAAACATGAATTATTGAGAATAACCCATAAAATTACTGGTGAGATCTTGACAAAACTTGAATGGGACCAGACAAGAGCGTGACAAGAGAGTTTTGAAAAATATTTATTGAAAGTTTAATCTTTTTTTTTGAAGTCGGTATGGCATTAGGCAATGTTGTGCTGTCCGTTAGCACTATCAGTGGTTGGCAATCGCTAAGCCAGTCGCCGGAGCCGGATTCATTCCGTGACGTGCACAGGTACAAAGCTCGTAAGCTCTCATAACACAAAGCACAAATCCTTTGCTCTGAATGAGGCAATATTCTAAATTTATTAAATCGTTTATATATAAGAATATTAGAATTAAGTTATGATATGAAAAGCCCCAATTCGAAGCAATATGAAGTGTTGTGCGTTAAAAAAAAACAATTGTGATTTCTAAAGTTTGTTCTATTTAGGGTGACATTGTGTTAATGTTGCCAGTTATTCGTATTATAATATTTACCATATTGTATAATGGTAGCTCGCAGTGCTTTAAAAATAAACGTATTATTGAAATTTATATACTTGTATCTTTATTAAGGAAAGTCATATTTTTAAATTTTATTTAGTGTTCCCTGTAGGTATACGACAAAGCGAAGATCTTCCACCGAGCGGGTGATATTGCTCGGTAGACCGGCGGTCCGAATGTTGTTGTTCGGAACTTGTATATATGCAAGCTTATCTTGAAAATGTCGTAAGGAAGATTCAGGCATCTCTCAAATATCTTGTGTTCTGTGATAGCTACCGCCACATTCCCAGGATTTTTTTTTTTTTCAAGTTTTAATGTAGGTAGTCTTCCGAGAATTTGTGTTAACTATAATAACTATATGAAGTTGAAGTCTAATTGAATTGACGATTGTTTCACCCTCTTCAAACCGAAACGCATTACGGCTTTGTGGCAGAAATAAGCAGGATTGCGATACTTATCAACAGATTTACATTTTTTTACGTTTGAATTTTCATAACACTTTTTAATTCAAATTTCCTTTGTACTTCATAGGATTTTTTGTAGCTGTCCGCGGGATTTGTGTGCTTAGTGCGAGTTTTTTAACGTTCTCGATAGCGTAAAAGTTAAATTTGTATGGAGTTGGAGCGTTTGCTTACGTTTGTCGCTAGGGGCGCTGTTCGAACTACATACAAATTTGAGTTAACTTTTACGCTATCGAGAACGTTAAAAAACTCGCACTGAACACACAGAACGATAAAATAATTTATAAAAAAAATATATCTAAATACATTTAATGAATAAAAAATACATGGAATTTTTTTATTTTTTTTATTGCTTAGATGGGTGGACGTGCTCACAGCCCACCTGGTGTTAAGTAGTTACTGGAGCCCATAGACATCTACAACGTAAATGCGCCACCCACCTTGAGATATAAGTTCTAAGGTCTCAGTATAGTTACAACGGCTACTCCACCCTTCGAATCGAAACGCATTACTGCTTCACGGCGGAAATAGGCGGGGTGGTGGTACCTACCCGTGCGCACTCCCAAGAGGTCCTACCACCAGTGATTACGCAAATTATAATTCTGCGGGTTTGATTTTTATTACACGATGTTATTCCTTCACCGTGGAAGTCAATCCTGAACATTTGTTGAGTACCTTCGTATTTCATTAGAGAAATTGGTACCCGCCTGGGATTCGAACATCGGTGCATCGCTCAACACAAATGCACCGGACGTCTTATCCTTTAGGCCACGACGACTCGGCAGTCAGGCCTGGCGTGAAGTACTTACTGCTCTGATCTCTGGGCCAGGGATCTCTAATACCAACGTCCATTTGCCTCCATATAGAAGAGGGCCGTGTTTTCTTTATAATTCTGTTTGTACGTATTGTTTGGAACCTCTGGCTTTAGGGACAGACATCGGCTCTGTGTTGTGTAGGTACCACATATTCCATGGGGAGTGCTCCGAGGGTTTGTTTGAGGCGACTATCCGCTATGACATGTCTTTTTTCAAATGAGGTTTGCTTAGAACACTCGGTGGTGAACTGCGATTAGGGTGTGCTCCTGAATTGCCGATGTCCATTAGCGACGCTAACCCCACACGATTGTGTGGGCTATATGATCAGGCAGACAAAGGCAATAAAAATCCTAATTCGGCCACAAGCCATACCGATTTCACAAGCCCACTGAGTTTCTCGCCGGATCTTCTCAGTGGGTCGCGTTTCCGATCCGGTGGTAGATTCTGCGAAGCACGGCTCTTGCTAGGGTTCGTGTTAGCATCGTCATCAGGTTTGAGCCCCGTGAGCTCACCTACTAGCCACGGTTACGCTGAAATAGCCTCTCAAGGCTATCAGCTTAGGTAGGATAAAAAAAAACCGATTTCACGTGTGAAACATGTCGAAATAAAAACGTGAACGTGCCTACTGATGATGACTTTTGTGCAATATTAATAAAACTCAATGTCATAGGGGTCAGATTTATTCTGGGGTCAGTTCGTCTGCGGAATATCTAATTTTATTAGCGCATTTTTATACAAAGTCTTTACCAAGAATCTTTTGCATCTATCAAGATAAAAACATATATGTATATGTATACCGAGGGGTGAATGGCTATTATTTGTTGTAAGCGACGTTTATGCAATAAAAAAAAATTAAAAAAAAACTACATCAGAACCATTTGTTTTTGGAGTTTACTCCTTAAGAATCGATTTACATATATAGGCCCGGGGTATGAAAATTATGGGGACCAAAATCGTAGTAGAGAGTATAGCATGTCACACGAAATGCGTTATGCGCCTGATTGGCTCCTGATTGGCCAATCAGGAGCCAACGCGCGGCCGCGTTATCGCAGGTGACGCCGGGCTGCTGCGCCGGCAGTCCGCCACAAAGCCTCGTACTGATCGCGCGTTTCTCTCATTATTGTATTTTCATATATTTGTTAGTCGTTTGTTTTGTGTCTCGTTAATTTGTTAATAATCTGTAGTGTATCGTGTTGTCGTAATATAGAACTATTTCTCGTATTGTTTCGTTTAATTTACCGACATCGTTTTGCTTGTGGCCGGACGCCGTTCGGGTTCGATTCCTGAACGTATCAACTGTTAGTGGGTTGATACCCGAATATAACCCGCTACAAATCATTTATTAATAAAGCTTATTAAATATAAACAATTCCTTCTATCAGTGAATGGACAACTTATATATTAATTGTAAAAGTGAATTATATAGACTTACTTAATTACCGCATCCACGTGTTCCGCAACTCCCGGATCATTCTCACTAGAATACGTAACTTCCATATTTTACTGTATTCAACTGACACAAATTTATATTTATATCCAGTAAACTCCAGTCGTGCGTCGGAGCGGACACACACACTTTTTTTTTTTAAAATATATAACAAAAAAAATCTTCAGCTATTTCAATGGAGTAAACTTAATTGAAGTTCAATTAAAAACATCGAACTGTTGATGATAATATCAAAGTACCAAAACTTTAGTTACAAATATAAATGTCGCTTAGACCAAGTAACCTTTCACCCTTTAATTTAAATGATATTTAGCAAGAAAAAATAACTGCAACGGGTAATTTATTAAACAAGAAAGAGTAAGTACTGTACTACTTAGTAGGTACTAAGTACTAAGAGGAAGTAATGAGTAAGACACCATAAAAATCGTAACCACATTTGTGCCGATTCATTAGATCTGCAAGATAACATGTAAGGAAAATGACGTTAAAGTGTGTGTAATTACGGCCATAATATCAAAATAATTACATACTTACATAATGCACGGGAAGCAAAAATGTCGCCTTTCAAACGAAATGACAAGTCTTCGTTTGAATAACGGCTTTCCATTTTCTCTTTTAATATCCAAATTGTGTGCCATGATCGGTCATAATGTATAAATTCAGCTGACAGTAGATTTCGCGCCATTACAAACCTAACCACAGATAAGCGTGTGTTCGTGTAGAACTCAAAATGACTCAAGTTTTATTTTTTCTGAATAAATAAACGTTGTTAACTTATAAATCGTTGTTAGGTTTTATTAGAAAACGTAATAAAACTTGATTATGGTTTGTGAAAGAAAAGTTTGCAATATGAACGAGTGAAGTTAGAAGTGAGAATTCTGAGAAACGATTATAAAATTAATCGGTTCTTTTTACAGCAGATTTCAAAAAAGAATATCATCATTACATTAAAAGTTTGGCGTCATTCGCTAAACCCCTTTCGGTCTGTCGGTGGTTCGACGGAAACGATCTCTTCACTCGTAAATTATGTGTGAGTAAATAAAATCAAATCAAGGGCAAGAAATGTATTTGTTTTTAAATAAATAATTGATGTTTTTTTTGTTTCATTTTACAACCTTAAAACTAACTTAACAATTTATCTACATAAATTCTTACATAAAATTGGAAATAAATTAGGTATTGACATAAATAAACAATAACACTTTGCTAAAACTGGTTTTTGCTAAATTATAATGAATGTATATTTTGAAATTGTACAATTAAAGTGATTTCACAGCAACAGGATTTTCCGAATTACATTGTATTGTTTTGGTTCTAAAGGATTCAATTAGAATTAAAATTAAATGTCAATATGACATTTATTTTGTTCTTATATTTCAGTTTAGGTATTTTCGTTTAATAATTATACATTCTAAAATAATAATAAGTTGGATATTTTTAAATGTTGTCAATTTTATGTATAAAATTCGTGTCTTTTAGACATTTTTGAACTACGACCATTTATCATCGTATTATCATAGTTATTTTAAACGAATTAGGCTGAATTAAGCAATTCTTTATTCGAAAATCCCTGCGCTTACAAATCTTAATTTCTGACATTAAGGTTTTATTCTTAAATATATTAGTGGCTGTGTGAATAATCACTCTTTTGGCACTAAAATAGCTAATATTTAAGATAGCTTCCTGACCGAAATTATACATACATACTGAGGATTAAAACAAAGTTCCTGATCTTTAAAGGACATATATCTTTGTCTTTGGAATACAATTAATGTAGGTATTCTAACTGTAAACTATTTTAATTAATGTTCCGTCATATTGTCATAGCTAATGTCAGCGTGGAACCCGTCAGGGCCTGCGGTGTACTTAACCTTCTGCATCCTGCCGTCGGGCAGCAAAACGTGGTAATGCCCGTTCGTCTTACCATCCTTCTTCGCCTCGTGGTGACCGTAATAATTGCCTGTGTGGTGATCTCTAACTCTATAGCCGAATTCATAGTTCGCGGCGTACTGGAGCTGGAATTTTGAAAAAAATTGTGCTGTGAAACACGGCCATGTTGTTTTTGACGTTTGTAGGTAAATCGCTAAGTTCAAGTCACGTGTTGTGGTTGCTTGGCGTGTGACGGAATGATTTAACGACATTTTGACAGATTTAAGAGGTCTGAATAAGTTGAAAATTTGCATATGCATCAAGGACCGATGACAATACAATAATTTTATGATTTCATTCTAATATCCTGATCAGTATCAACGGCATAAAAAATAAAGATGAAATTGATTTCATTCTACTTCGGTTAACGGCTGTATAAGCATGTTTTTTAGTTTTCGACGATATCTATATAAAATAGTATATAATAATGCAGAAAATAAACGAATAGTGATTAAGGATGATATAATAGTTTTATGTTTCGTGGATATGGTTTCAATATTCGGGAATCAATGACGACAGACGTTGAAACGGCTCAAATGGGTTTGGCGGGACTTTATTTTGAGAATTTTTCAGGAAGGTAATATCGGATTTTTTTTTTGTTCCAAAAATATAGGGTACCTGTATAAAATTAATAACCTTCAGAAAGGGTTGATGATTTAACATATTATAGAACTCAAGAAATAGTCGGGGATCCGCAATCGCGTAATTTCTGTATACCTATGAAAAATTGGTGCATTTTCCATTACGCATAACTCTCAAAACTGTTCACACAGAACAGGATTTTTACGATTGGCCTCGTTCGGTGGGTACTTGTTATTTTTATTACTGATATTATAAAATTAAATGTGAAAGTGAGTTTGTATACTCGTATAATCAACCAGGGATATAGAGTAATTGTTCTATATCGACGCCCGAAAGTCACGTTAGAAATTATTAAGATAATAATTTAAAAAATTTAATAAAATTATAACTTTTTAATATCATAGATCTCTGGTTGGCCAGTCGTGCTTCGGAACTGCGATACCGATGTGGAGGGGTGAAGAACAGCATATTATTTGGTTGAGACCACGCAATGGACGGATTTAAATTTTGAAAGAACTTACTGATTCACATTAAAACGGTTTTAATAACTTTTTACTGGTGGTAGGACCTCTTGTGAGCCCGCACTGGTAGGTACCACCACCACGCCTATTTCTGTCGTGAAGCAGTAATGCGTTTCGGTTTGAAGGTTGGGGCAGCCGTTGTAACTATATTGAGACCTTAGAATCTATTTCTCAAGATGGGTGGCGCATTTGCGTTGTAGATGTCTATGGGCTCCAGTAACCGCTCAACAACCAGGTGGGCTGTGAGCTCGTCCGCCCATCTAAGCAATAAAAAAAAAACAACTGTAACCGCGTCTCTGGTATTTTTAACCGATTTTTTTTTAGAAGTCGATATTTTTTTTTTTTTAATTGTGATTGTGCTATAAACAAATTAATTAAGGAATTCTGATACGTCTTTTATTTTACAAATAAGTTACAAGCTAATCGTATGTTCTATTACAGAAAATCACTAAGGTATATTTTTAATAAAAAGGAATTTTGTAGGACTTATCAGTTAAGATAATAAATACGTTGATTAAACTAATAAGTCGTTATTCGTTTCCGCCAATACTCTTCTGTACCGTTTGATGAAGATCGATCATTATAATACAGCAGAAATAGTGGTTCCTAACACGATCTTGGAGGAAACCGTGGTTGAAATCTATTAGCTATTAGCAGCATGGGGTCTTTAGTTCTAGAATAATCTTTGCAATATAAGGCACATTGAATAGTATATATTATAATAACGCTTGAAAGGCAAACGTGACTAAGCGACAATAACTGCTTTGTACATAAATGATAGGCAATAACCATATTCGATGCGCAAAAAAATATATTTCTATTAAAATCATTTCAATCCTACAGCTAGATTCGTTAAAATAGAATTTTTTTCAGGTATTTCAACTTTAAATTAGTCTACTGTAAAGTTCACGCATTGTCGCTTAGTCACGTTTGCCTTAGTCACGTTTGCCGTCGATTCAATCGAGAACTTTTCAAACTGCCGCTATTTTGTGTAGCTTATAAAGATTTTTCTTGATTCTCTTCGGGACATGGCTATAGGGTCGCCTCCTGTACTTCCTAGGTCGATGTTTCCTCTTTTCTTTACCCAACTGGTGAAAATCTGAATGCTGTACATTCAAATTATGATGTCCTATAAGGCTCTTCAGTTGTGTTTCAGTTAAAACGTAAACAGGTTCCTTTAATTCTGAAGGGAACTCATAAGAATGAGAATGGAATTTTGAGGGATCAAAGCTCGGAACGCCGTACTCTGGGTCGTAGATTTGATACGGTACACCGTAAGAAGTTGAGAAATCGTTTAAGTTGGGACCGTATGAAGGGGGCGATTTCCACGAACTGTGTCGTTTATTGGAGAAACTAGCTGTAAGATCCGAACTTGGGTTCTTATTGGGCAATACGAAAATCGGGGATCGATTGTCATTTATATAGTCGAATTCTGGTTCATAATCGTAATCGTCTTCGCCGTCATCATAATAGTCAGTATCAGTCGGCGTTTCTAATTCAGAAACAAAATCATACGGAACCCGTTTAAAATGCTGTAAGCTTATTGGCTGTTTCAGTTCTTCCGCTACAGGCAAAAGTTCCTCAATGTCTAAGGTCTTATTTGTTGCAGTTTTATTTGATTCAAATCGATTAACTGTATCGTTTAGAATAAACGGTTCAGTATCTAAAATGGATCTACGATTTCTGATTATACTTACTTCGGCATCGTCATACGCGGAAACCTCGACTCCATCTTGATTCAAGCGATGAACTCCCTGGTTCTCGGTGTTGTGGTGCATGTAAATCCCTGATTCGCTATCTTTTGAGTCTTGAAACGGATACAGTTTTTCGTATTTCACGGCTTGATATTTAGGTTTCTCTTCCACTACTCTCTGTGTAGTCGGTCCTGCGTTATTGTAATAAGGTATAGTGCTGTCTTCGTCTGGGAGCTTAGTTGTCGGTTGGACCCCGTAGTTTTTAACTGTGGTGTGTTTATTGGGGTCCTCAATGTCTTCTACGTCTTCTTTGATCGGTGTGTGGTCTTTGTAACGAGTCTCTTGTGTATACGCGTTGGGCGCGTAGCTTGCATAACCACCGTTAGTTGGGTGATAAACATTATTCGCGTTATTATAGAAAAACAATTCCACAGGCGTTTGTAAATGTTCTTTGTCCTCGTTAGCGTGTAACATGGCATTGAAATTTGTTAGTTGATCTTGTGGATTCTGTTCCAATAATGCGTTTAATGTTGCTATATCAGATGTTTCGTAATTTTGTGCGTGACTATAGTCTTTGGGGTGGACATATTGAGTTTTGCTCGGCATAGCTTCTGTATAAAGTTTGTTTTCATCTGTCTCAACGTACGCAATCCCGTTTGGTTTGATCGTAACGCCTTGATCGTAAGTAGTGCCTGGAGAGACGTAAACAGTCTTATACCTTGGCACATATTGATAATCTAGTGAGCCATGGGAACGATGGCTTCTTGTTTTTTCAGTTGGACTGTTTTCTTTGCCGCGTCTGCGGTCCTGTCTTTTAGTTGGAGTTTTTAAGTCGGATTGCTCTTTTTCGACAGCTAACTGATGGCTTTCTTGTGACTCGTGATAAGCTTTCATGTAGCTATCTTGTTGTGGCGACTTCGTCCATCGCTGTAGCTGAGCTTTGTGCTGTCTGACCCGTTCGGCGTTGAACATAGCTTGCTGGTTTTGAGCGTAGAGCTTAGCGTTCTGGATCGAGTGGCCGGCTAGAGGATTTCCGAAGGTGACCGGACCAGGGTTGACCTTTTTCTCCTCTCGCTGTTCGTTGATGACTTCATAGACTGGTCTGGCGTTGTTCTTGGCTGGGTTACTACTAGTCAGCTGTAGGACTACGAACATAATTGTGACTGTTGTTTTGACGTTCATTTTTATCTGTAACAAAATTGTAAAACATGAGAATTTCGTATATCACTACATAGTATAAAACAAAGTCACTTTCTCTGTCCCTATATCCCTATGTATGCTTAAATATTTAAAACTACGCAACCGATTTTGATGCTGTTTTTTTTAATAGATAGAGTGATTGAAGAGGAAGGTTTATATGTATAATAACATCCGTTAAATAGTGGAGAAATCAATAATAAATTACAGTTTCCGAAGCGAAGCGAGGGCGGGTCGGTAGTAGTTTAATAAAGCAACCATAATTCTAGTGAAACTGATAAAACGTGCGGCTTGTCAGCAATCTTTTCAAAAATAAATAAACTGAAAATATTCGGCTTTTTAATATATCAACCCGAATTCGCGTGTTCCAGTTTTAAGGCGGGGCAAGCAGTGCCACTGTTAAATTCGATTACCCTAATTAAAGAAAGCTCGTTGACATTTCGTGCAAGATTATTTACTAAGCGTCTTTTCGCTGATGTAATTGTTGAATAACAAACGATTACCATGCGAAAAAGATTCAACGGCAATTTCGTAACTTCGCATATAACTTTCACTCGTTTTTATGAAAGTAAGTGTATGTGACGCAGGATTTGTAGTGTTTCAATTAAAATTTATACATTAACGTCCGTTGTTCATTGCTGCAATATTTTTGGAGTATTATTGTGACGAAGAGAGGACGGTCGATGGGGCAGAAAGATCCTGGAGTGGCGACCACGTACTGGCAAGCGCAGTGTGGGACGGCCACCTACTAGATGGACCGACGACTTAGTAAAAAGCGCTGGGTCTCGTTGGATGCAGGTGGCAATGGACCGGTCGCACTGGAAATCTATTGGAGAGGCCTATGTTCAGCAGTGGACGGCGATAGGCTGAAATGATGAAATGATGATTGTGACTAGAGGTCCCGCAGTAGTCGAAATTCGACTATAATTAATTGGAATTGTAGGTTTGTACATTATTATGATTGTATTTTATACTTCTATAATCACAAATTTCGCCAAGACTACACTATAAAAAATATTAATAAAGACAAACAATATTTAATCTATTCTCAATTTGACAACAGACGTCAAGAACAAAAGTTTGACAATAAGTAGTATGCATGCGTGTGTGCGTCAAATACATGGTATGTAGTGTGTGTAATGTTTTCTTTATTGATTTAATGTATCTTTTAAGCATTATTTAAAAAAATATTAGCATTGTGCACTTCTTCTCTATATTCTCTATAAGTGTGGAAAATTTCATACTCCTCCGTCCGCGCAATTTTCGTAAAAAGGGATACAAAGTTTTTGCTTCACGTATTATTATATAGATAAGGGTGATCGATTTGTGTCGATTGTAATTCACTAGGCAGCTATTTACAGAACTATCTAGATTCTAAAGGTATTTTTTACGGTTTAATCTCATGTTCTTTATTATTATTATTATTAAAAAAAAATATTGCTTAGATGGGTGGACGAGCTCACAGCCCACCTGGTGTTATGTGGTTACTGGAGCCCGTGGACATCTACAACGTAAATGCGCCACCCACCTTGAGCACCACGCGCCATTATTTCTGACGTTTCCAATACTATAGTGTTTTCGTATTCACGGTTCTAGAGCCCAATCAGCAATCAGCAGGAGCAATCAGCCCACAAGGACTCAACGAAGATAAAGTTTAGTTTATTATTAAGGCCTATCGTAAATCGTGTTTTTTATGATTGAAAGATTACTGGTGGCTCTGAGGCTTCACTATGATAGAAGGAGGACTCCGAAGGATACCTAACATTACGAGAACAGCTGCTTCGCGAATGAATCTACCACCGGATCGGAATCGCGACCCGCTGAGAAGATCCGGCGAGAAACTCAGCGGGCTGATGCATGGGTTAGGTTGCATGGCTAACTCTTTGTCGAGTTCCACGAGTACGGTACGATCCCTAGGCCTGCTCCTAGCGTTAGAGTTGAAGACGTCTAATGCAAGGGTTAGTGAATCTGATGGATCCGTAAGGATGTGCCTAGACTTGCATCTCTTGCATACCCTCTTTCACACAGCCCTCTACGTATTTTTAGAGCATTCCTTTACCACATTACTATGTTGATCGGAACTGATAGTAAATTTATTTCAACATGCATGAACATATTTTTCGATAGACCACGCATTTTTTGTACTATAGTAAATTTATTAAATTTAATTTTTGTTTTTTTTTTCTTCAAAAATCAATCTTCCGAGATTTAATTAAATATTTTTCCTATTACTTAAAAATGTATAGTTACACGAAATCGGCTCACGATATCATGACGTAATCAATTATGTATCAGGCGCTAGCTAATATAAAATAATACAATGAACAAATCATAAAACTAATTTACATACACAATGTACAATGCATTCATTATTTCATTCAGTGACTGGAATTAGAGTTAACGCGGTACGCTCGACAACAAAATTCAAATACTCGTAATTATATTAATTTGTGACACGATAAAAAGGCTATATAGGAAGTATATAAGTAGTAGTAGTATGAGCATATAGTAGTATAAGTAGTAGTTTTATACGGGTAGTAGGACCTCTTGAGAGTCCGCGCGGGTAGGTACCACCACCCTGCCTATTTCTGCCGTGAAGCAGTAATGCGTTTCGGTTTGAAGGGTGGTGCAGCCGTTGTAACTATACTGAGACTTTAGAACTTATGTCTCAAGGTGGGTGGCGCATTTACGTTGTAGATGTCTATGGGCTCCAGTAACCACTTAACACCAGGTGGGCTGTGAGCTCGTCCATCCACCTAAGCAAAAAAAAAAACGGACGCTCATCCAGTCCCAAATATTATTCCCTGTGTTATGGGTACCTGCGGAAACTGACATTGATATACATATTTATGATAAATATATACATACATAGATAATAATCACCCAGACAAAGAGCAAACCTGTTGGTCATACGAATGTTTGCTCGATCTGGGAATAGAACCCACGACCCACGGTGCAACAGTCAGAGGCTCTAACTACTCTACCACCGGGTCAGTCAACTGAACTTGTAGTAAATTTATTTTATTATAATAAACTGACAAAAGAACGTTACACTAAAATAAACCTTTTTTATTTTTATTGCATAGTTGAGTGGACGAGTTCAACCCCACCTGATGGTAAGTGGTTACCGGAGCCCATAGACATCTACAACCCACCTTGAGATTAGAGTTCTAAGGTCTCAGTATATTTACAACGGCTGCCCCACCCTTCACACCGAAACGTATTACTGCTTCGCGTGCGGACTCACAAGAGGTGCTACCACAGTGGCGGATTAAAGTTCCAGAGCGCCCTAGGCAATCACTTTATCAGCGCCCCTGTACCGGCCATTAAATGGCCATCATAATACTATAAATTTTAACTAGTTGTTTTTGCAATTACGGTGACGTTGTATCATCAAACCCTAGACTTTAGTAGACCAGGACCCTTGTACTTACGCTAATGCGCGAATGAAATATGACGTTATAACTGTGAAGAAATCAAGAGGGACGACAGAATCAGCATTTAGTTCTTAATCGTCGATATGTTATTTTGTTTATTTATTTAAAAATTCTGAGCTCGCGCGCCCCTTGTAACTACACGCCCCTAGGCACGTGCCTAGTTTGCCTTACGAATAATCCGCCTCTGGGCTACCACCAGTAAAATATTAAATATTAACTATAAATGTTATGCTATTTATCTACAATATTAACATTAAAACGATACTAATAATCGTAAATTGGCTAGACGCATCATGCATTTCGTATTTCTAGTACGTATTCAAACTGCGACTCTTGTTCTCAAGTCGGGTCAACTGAACGACCGTGCGACCATGAGTTTTCACTTTCACTAGCAAATATCAAATGTACCTGCATACAGCTCACGGCGACACCGATTTAGTATTAAAAAGAGAGAAATAACAAAAATCATATAACTACATGTAGTTATTTTGAAAAATTACTGTTACTAGTGGTACCCCAGTAGTCGAAATTCGACTTTAAATAATTAAAATTAAAAGTTCGAACATTATTAGGGTTCTATTGTCAAAGACAATTAGACTTCTATAATCACAGATTTCGCCAAGACTACACTATAGACAAATAATATTAAAGACAAACAATATTACATAGTCTATTCTCAATTTGACCACAGACTATAAACAATAACAAAAGTTTGACAATTGACAATAAGAAAGAGTACGGTATATTTTTAAGTACCGGTAAAATGGGGCGATTAGGGATTGAGAGGCGAATCGGGAAAAAACCGGGAAAATCTTTCGACGCTCAATATAAGTTTTATATTCGTTGCAAAATCTTCCACTTTTTGTAGTTTACTAGTAGAATGTTGAAAGTTCACAAAACAACTCTGAATATGCATGATAATAGCTGCTAACTTATAAAAAATCGCGTTTCAAATTAACTTCCTGTGGTGGTCATTATTTTAGTGCTAGAAACTTTGCTCTCTTTTATTTATTTGATAATAATAGAAGACGACTATGATTTATAAACGTTATTTAGTATTTGAACCAGCATATATATTAAAGGTAAGTCTCAGTTGTTATTGGTTTTAATGTATTTGATTAAATAAAAATACATGTAAAAATCTGTTGTTTTTGGGGATATTGGGGACGTCTTAGGTACAAATAACAACGAAAAAGGGGTCAATTGGGATGAGAATACGTGAAATGGAAACGACCTAAGTATAAATAGGTACAGGTTTGTAGGGTTGTCTATGTAGTTATAACAATATTTTTTAAATTTGTTGGTAAAAATCTGGTTTATTCGAAGCGAAATTGGGAATAAGTCTTTAGTTGAAATAGATAAGCAATTTAATATAAGTAAGTCGATTTTGCAGAGACATGTAACAAGATCAATGAAATCTCAAGGTGGACAAAAATGTCTAAGTAATACATAATAAAATATTTAATATTTGTTCAGAGTGGGGGTATTCATCTGATTAATCCATGGAATAACCGACACACCTAATCTCTTAACCCAGATAGAAATATCAGCACT